CCCCCCCCCCCCCCCCCCCCCCCCACACACAATCTGATACAGAGTTTTAGACAATTGTGTTGGTCAGCGGTTCAAACAGAAGATTTCAAAGAAACAGAGACAGCCTAAGTTGTCTGGGAACAGGCCAGAGTCAGATGACACTAAATGCTTTCCTCTGCTACTTCCCTTTTAAAAACCCAGCAGAAATGGCTGGAATAGAATAGTCCCCACTAGTATGTGACATGATAACATTATGACCTAATGATCCAATCCTGTGACAGGCTGAGCACCCCCAGCTCCTCTAACTGCTCCATAAAAACAACATTGTTCATACTAGCCTGTTTCACAGCGTGGCCCTGTCCATTCCCCTGGGCAAAGGCACAATCCATTTTCATAGGCTCCACTGTTTTCACAGGGTGAAGGGGATGGAGGTGAGGGTTCTGTTTAAAAAAGGAAAATGTTGACAAAGGAAAGCTGCCACAATACTTATAATCTATGAGTCCCATTGCAACAGATATAACCTGGATGAGCCATCTCTATCCCCAGCCTGCATATAAGCATCCTACCTCTGCTTCTGGGCTCCCTTAAAGACTTAGGCAACAGGAGGCACTGAGATTCTATGGCTTGGGTGTTTAGGGTACATCTACATGCAGCTGGGAGGTGAGAGCCTCCGCGGGGGTAGACAGATTTGTGCTAGCTCCACTTGAGCTGAGATGCTAAAATAGCAGCGTGGCAATTGCAGCACCGGCAGAAGCTTAAGCTAGCCAACCAGGCCCAGCCCCAGGGAGCCAGGTGGGCTTGGACTCGATGTGTCACTCAAGCAACCATCTAGGTTGCGACCTCCACACTTATTTTTACCAAAATAGCTTGAGCTGAGCTAGTGCAAGTCTGCTTATCTGGACTGGGAATCACCCCTCCCAGCTGCAGTGTATATATGCCTTCTTAGACCTCCCCCCCCATCCTTCAAGGAGCTCTGCATGAGAGAACATCCATATTCTATGTGAATCCAGGAGATATCCATGAGATTCCACATGGAGCTCCATGCAAGATGAGAGCCATTGATTCTACAGTGATAAGGAGCCCTAGAAATACTACAAACAAGGAGACAATCACACAGACCAGACTCACTGAGAAGAGCTCTAGGTTGAGCTGGGGCCACAGTGTGTAATTTATTAAATGCACCTATGACTGCAAAACCAACAATATTGAAGTTGCAGGCAGCCAAAACACAGCAACACAGTCATGCTGATTTTTGCGTCGTGGGTGTAGGCAGCAGTTTCACAACTTGTCCTTATTCCCTGCATTCAAACCAGACATTTTAACCAGAACAGGTTATTTTATTAGAAAAAAAGTAGCCATATTTTAATCCTTGATATGTTGTATTGCCTTCTAGTATTAGCACTATTAGGCTGTGTCTAGACTACATGCCTCTGTCATCAGAGGCATGTAGATTAGACTGATAGGCAAAGGCAAATGAAGCCGCGATTTAAATGATCGCAGCTTCATTTAAATTTACATGGCTGCCGCGCTGAGCCGACAAACAGCTGAT